TTAGAAGTTGCCATTATTAAACTGTGTACATCCCTGGAGGTTTAGGGGATAGGAAACACTCAAATTTAAAACATATAATTAATACATGAGTGAAAATTGCTTGTGTCCATAATGGGCATCATTAATATATACCCACATGACAGCTAAGGTCAGAAGAGCTTTATTTAACAGCTGGTCTTATGTCTGTGACCCCTCCTGTTGTTAATTGATAAGCCTGAAACATGCACTTGTCAAGGTTCAGAGGCACATTTAGCAAATATGGCAGTAGCCATCGATCATCTTAAGATAAGATATACTTTATTGATCCCAAGTTGGAAATGTTTTCGTTACAGCAGCATGTGTAACAGTTGTAAATATGCGGTGGTGTTTATTTGTAAATACATATACAGCATATATAATCATATATCATATCGTATCATATATACTGCATATATATATAATACGGATTGATGCATCTGCCGGTTAAAAGACCTTTGACTTTGCTGGTGACTTCTTTCATATATTTTCTACGAACATAGCATTACATTTTTCTTGATATTTTAGACATAGCCTACTCTATTACTTTTTTCAACAGCCTACTATACTCTTCAAATAATCATAACAAAATACCTTTTCCTTGATATTTTCAAAACACTACACAGTGACTTTTTTCAAGATATCTTGAATGTGTTTTCTTCATATTGTTCCAAATCTTGTTTCATATTTCGAAATACTTACCATTACATTTTGTATGAACGTTTTCAACATGCTATGACATTTTTCAACAAACTATATTAGGACTTTTTAAACATTTCTTTTTCAGATACTATGACTTTATTTTAGACATACTATATACACTATGACTTTATTTTAGACATACTATACTATGACTTTTCAATTTACTTCAACATTTTCCCTTAGTTGGGATGACTATTATTTATGGGAGATGTTTTCAAACACTGGTTTGAGTGGTATTTTAGCTTATGACGCATTTTGTAGACGTTTGATTTGAAAAGAAACTAAAGCTTTAAAATTAATGTAGTGGGGAAAATACAAGCGAGGTGACCCGAAGAAAAGGACACGGTGTTACAGTTAGAGTCATGTTTATTTACAGCAGAATCCTGAACAAGGGGAAAAAAGGGTCAGAGGGAGCGGGTTAAAAGGAGACAAAGTGTTTTAGATGAAGCGCTTCAGGATTCATGTTTCACTACACAGTTCTTAATTTATTTATTCACCATTTTTCTATACAGAATCCATTCAGCTGTAATATCAATGCACCAACAGAGCTGGAGTACTCTGCTGGGGGGAGGAGAGGTGGAAATAAAAATAAAAATAAAGCACTAAAGAAAAAAAAATACAAACAAGGTGGGTAAAAATAAATTCAATTTCTATAAAAAAAAACATTTTTGTTGTTATCACCATGATCGTCATCAGTTATTTATGTATGTACATATACACACATATATATGTATATATATGTATATAAATCTATATATTTCCTTGCCATGTCCATGAAGGGGGCTTGTGGTTCCAAGATGTCCGAGTTTAGACGTCCCAACCTGACAGCGTTCAGGTCATAATATTCAGCTTATTGAACCAGTCAGAGCTGACCCTGGCAGTCTTTCTGACCTGCAGCTTTAGTCCCGCCCACTGACGCTGCCCTGTAGGCGAGCTCATAGGTCCAGTGCCTTGGTGTGGGCCAGCAGAGACTCAAAACTGCAGTAGACCAGTCGATGCAGTCTGAGAAATGATACACTGTACACATAACATGCACGGCCAGATAGCATAAAAAAGTAAAAAAAGAAAAGAAAAAGCCAGCAAACTGCGTCGTCCATAGGTTTCTTCGACTTCCTGCCGTGTGATCGCTCACACTTTTTCCAGTATACATTAGATATTAACTGACAAGCACCACAAAAAGGTGGAAGGACAATACAAAAGATTGTAAGACTGTCAGGGACCAAAGAGTGACAGAAAAACATCCTATGAGTTATTTTCTTATTTCCATTTTGGATCTGAGGGGCATGACTGATTTTCTCCCCTCCCTAAATCCAAACGGACGTTATGATGTGATGATGACACACTCAAAACACACTTAACCCTCATCTCCAGGCTTTGAGTCCAAACGTTCACAATAGTCAGGTCTTCATCGACTGAGGTGAAGTTCAGGTAAGATGTGCTGTTGTGCTGTTCCACTTGTTAAAACGTATAAAAAGTGATCTTATATAATCATGCTCGGACATTATACATGTCTAAAATAAGATGCTTTTAGTGTTAACATGGCCTTAAATACATGTAGATTGAGGTTGTGCACAAAAGAAATCAGTAGAAAACCCAGCATGATGTATGGTGTGGTTCCAAGATAAAAAGTAACATAAAATACCTTAAAATTAATTCAACATTCATTTATTTGAAAAAAAAAAACACTGTATACATTTCCATCTGTCCGCAGAAGGACCGTTAAAAAGAAAGTGACCCCTGTGGAGATTTTCTGTCAATTTGTACATTAGACACAAACCATTCGTCATGTGTTCATGACAACGTTTGATCCAACACGCCCAGCTCAATGGAAACCTGACTATTGTCATTGTTTTTTTAACATTATCATGATTCAAATTAAAAGCGAGTAAAACAATCATTCACTCATCAGTTTCGTTCTCCCACACACACACACAAATGCAAACACACTCTAACATGAGAGCAGGAAACTAACTTTTTCATCAACCAGCCACCGAGGCAGGTGTTTTTTTTCATACCAAAGATCCATCAGCTACGTTTCTATCACACAAGCCAACAAACTTTAGAAAACAACCTCTAAATGATGGATGCTCACCAGTCGACTCGAAACAACTGGCAGACAAAATTCACCAAAAATTCGGCTGTTGGCTGACGTCAGTTTCCCACCCTGTTCAACATGCTCCCGAACACAAATACAAACTCAAGATACCGCAAATACACATATATACAAATAGAAGCAGCCCCTCAAACGCTGGGGGCAGCTTAACAATTTATAATGCATCATTTCTTTATATGCCAAGAATAAAACTTTTCTAAATAAAATACATAGTTATCTGTGTGGGGGGGGGAATGGGGACAGCAGATGGACAGAGAGGAGGAGGGCGGGGCTCGCAGGAGTGTCAGAGGGGAGAAGCCATTGTGGTGGGATGATGGGACAGATGAGAAAAGCAGGGGGAGGGAAGACGGATGGGGGGGAGACGGATGGAGGGGGAAGACTCTTCTCCTTCACTGTGTCACTGCTCCCGAGCAACGTCCTGTGCCACTGCAACACTACGTCTCTTCTCAGTTTGTTTAAATCGTTCCATAATAGTACGAATATTAATAATAAGAAGGACCACGACAATGCTAAAAAAAAAATATATAAACCCCAGCCATGTCTCACAACCCTAAGTCCACAAAAAGGGGGAGGCCAGGCCCTCGAGTTCATCTGAGTCGGTGTAAAACAGAGATGCAGAGAAAAGGAGGAAACGCAGAGAGAGACAAGAGGCCAGACGAATGTAACGAGGCCTTTGGAGGGAAGTGGCAAAATGGGAATAACTATAGAGAAGAGAAAAAGGAAAAAAGAGAGGAAGGGGGGCAGAACAAATACAACGTAGGCAGGATGTGCTATAATGAAGAGGAAACAAACAGAAAAGAGGAAGCGGAGATGAAACAGGGGAGGATGTAGGAACCAAAGATGAGTCGTGTCGGGGCGTTGTGATCCACACACTGGTGTCCTTCTGAGGGTTGTCACAGAAGATTGGCGGAAAGCATGAACAAGTGATGACAACATGGCCTCACTGTGAGTGTGCCCTCTCTCCTTCCCTCTAATAAAAAGGTAAAGGATCCGCAGTCCTCCCCGCACTGGTCGGTATTTCCCAGGGTGCATCATACCTCCAGGAAGCGGGAGCTGCTGGTCTTGGTGTGGAAGGGCTCGGACCACATGCGCCGCAGATCCCCCTGAGGAGCAGACAGGATCACAAAATGAATGAAATGTTCGCTGATTCTTATCCACAGGGTCAGCCAAGACAACTGCTTTTGACTCTTTATTGAGGTAAAGAAAAAGAAAAAAAGTGTTGTATTTTCTTTTATTCTACAACTTAAGTTTTAAGAGGTAAATCCTTGATGTCTTGTGACTGCCTAATCCAACAAAAAGGAAAAAGGTTGTGAGGAAATTATGAAACGCTTTTTTGTGGAGGCTACAGCCACATTTATGGGGTATTTGTATATTATATGTGCAAATTACATAATTTCAGTTATAATTAAAATTATAATTTTTTTTTCCCACGGAGAAGAATAAAGAAAGAAGAACACTGCTGAATTCTGCGAAACTGCTACAGCTGAACTAAATCAATTTGATTTATATAGCCCAAATCACACATTTGCCTTAGGGGGCTTTACAATCTGTACACAATACGGTACACTGTCCTTTTCAACCCTTGCTCTAGATAACACAAAACTCCCAAAACAATCCCCTTTACTGGGGGACAAAAAACATGGTGTGTGTTGCTGTCCTGTACCTTCAGGTAGGCCATAGTGAGCAGAGGCAGCAGGGTGAAGGGCACCAAGTAGAGCAGAGCGGGCTGAGCAGCACGGTGGATCCTGGAGGCCACAGTGGCCGTCAGCAGACCTGGAGACAGATCATTGTTAATCACATGAGAACTGTACGTGTTCTTTATTTTAAAGTATACTCCAAAAACCTGAAGGGAAAAATTGAGATTCGAAGAAAAGCACTTTTTGGGAGACATATAACTAATGGGACCCGCTTCACACTGAAACAATGAGACCCTTGACCTTTCACATCCATCCTTCCATTGATTGCTTGCTTACCCACAAAGTATCCGACGAGAGTGCAGTGGAAATAGGAGACGCGCTGCATGCGTCCGGAGATTGGGACTTCCCCATTGGCCTGCTTCTTGTAGTTGTCATAGCGCAGGACGAAGCATAACAGCAGCCCCGGCATCACGATGTCTCCGATTCCCAGCATTGAGAAGTGACTTCCTGTGGAGCTGCATGGATTGGAACAAACATAGAAATAAGTTGGGAAGATCTAAAAACATGGTCAAGAATACGAGCCCCAACGAGTCATGGAAAATAAATACCAAGTACATATTGGTCCAAACCAGATGTCAAATCTGACTATTGATATGTTAGCCGCCTTGTGGAGCTGTAATGCTGAAAGTGCAGCAGTAAATACAATTTCCATCACTCTTACCTGGGAAAGACCAGTTTTCCAGGTAAGGAGAGGCGGGGGACGTCGCGGCCCATCCCAGGTCCCAAGTGGAGCTTCCTGGAGAGAACATCTATGGGATTTTCAGCCGGCTGGGTGGCAACTTTCACCATCACATTACTATTGAAGATGTAGGCTGAGAAGAACACCTGGAGGGAAAAAGCAGAGTTAGGCTGGGGATATTGACATGTTCTCATCTCAATTTTAACAATAATTTGGTGACACTTGTGTTAGCATAGTTAGCTGAAGGTGGTCATTGCTTTTGCAATTTGTGCTCAATGAAGGAGCTGATTCAAAGCAAAGACAAGGCCAGATGTAGCTAATAAATCAAATCTTAATCTATAGGTACCTGGACAATAGATGGATTTTGATATCTCAGAGGAAATTGGGATGTTCATCTCAATGTTGGCTCGGTGAGACGGATCCTTTTAAAATCATTCCTCTAGTTCATTTCTGTTCATTAGTGTTGAATTTTGTGTTCAGCTATGATGGTGATTAATGCAGCAATGCTTGCTACCCACAGTGTTCTTACACCTTTTCCAAAGTCAAATTCAAGCACTTTTCAAGGTGCATTTTCCAGATTCTCTAGCATCTTACAGCTGTTGTAAATTACATATTTATATACACATACTCAAATGATTATTTCCCTACCTCACATTAAATCAGATGTTCTTTATGCTATAAACAACCAAATGTGTGTTTCGTGATAGCCTTCTACACGAGGATGAAAAATTAAAGAAAAGAAAACTAAGTTTAATATTTCAAAATTAGTGATCTGTACGTAGACTGGGCATCCCATATAACCTGGCTGAGCCAATATAAAACAATTAGCCAAATAACTTTTCAATACATTATTGATTACTATTTTTGAGGTACTTTTAGGTTGGCAGTAAACATAAGTCAGAGGTACATGGTGTACTTCTACTCCACTACATATATTTAATACCTTTAGTTACTTCACAGATCTGGATGAATGATGTGAAATATATTCACGTGTTAAATCAGACTTCATTTCCACCTGGAGTAAATTCACAACCAACCCTGCAGTATACAAAGTCATTCAAACTAGCTGCACCTTTCCCAGCGTTGAGAACACTTTCATGATCAATCATTATAAAACATATCATATATATTATTCTGAAATGGACCAATCTGCACAATGACTACTTTTACTGTCGCTACTTTCACTATATTTTGATGAGAATACTTTTCTACTTTTACTTGAGGAACATTTTGAATGCAGGACTTTTACTGTAACAGAGTATTCCTACACTCTGTACTTTTACTTTTACTCAGTACAAGATCTGAGTACTTCTACTTTTACTCAAGTGCAAGATCTGAGTGTACTTCTACTACTCAAGTACGAATCTGAGTACTTATTCCACCTCTGGTAGTGTATTAGCCTGAATTGTAGCCACAAAATGACGCAGAGCTGCATAAAAATAGACTCACAATGGTAACAAGTGGAAAATAATATTTACAAATGTGTACAATGATTTGTAGGTAATTTAGACTACTCAAGACACCTGACTTATACATCTTCAAAGGAAGACTGTGTTCATTCTACAATTACATGGGATTAAAGCTAAATGTAGTTTTACTTGTATAATACTTCAAGACTTTATATAAAAGCCTGTTTCTAAAAGTATCAACCATAGCGACACGGTCAAATCCTCAGTTTATAATTTATAACAACATACTAACAAGCTAAGGTCTAATTACGCAACCAAGTCTCACGGCATTTCGTGTTATAGTCACAAAATAAATGTAATCTATTGATTCGTGTTCACCAACACGATTCTCCCCTTTTTTTCGTGTCACACAGAACGATTTTAAAAGCAATGTATTTCTATTGGTAGTTTGTTTTGTGCCTGCGTGTTGTTGTCCGGTCGGGTCTTGGAAGACCAGAAGCTGTGTGGTTCATAAATGTCACAAGTTAGACACATCTATTATTGTTTGTTTGGTTTGGCTCATCTTAACTCTCCTGTCATTTCAGATCCCGCCTTCCTCCAGGCCCTTGTAATCAGCTCACTTCCCTCACCTGGTCTTCCCAGCCCTTCCCCTCACCTGTTACTCATTCCCTCATCACCCCACAGTATTTATACCACCTCACTATCACTTGTCCATTGCCAGATTGTCTTGTCGTTTCCGCCAAGCTCTCCAGTGAGTGTTATTCTCTAGCCTAGATTTTTGTCCTGCCCGGTTTTTGACCCCTGCCTGCCTGTATTCGGATCTCAAGTTCCTGCCTGCTCCCTGTCTGGTTTTGGTTGCCTGTCTGACGGATTTCCTGGTTTTGACCCTGCCTGTCCCTGACCTGAATAAACTGAACATTCCAAAACACTGGTTGTATCTGAGTCGTGCTATTGGGTTCTGATCTGTACCTGTGATCGTGACAATAAACACATGTTCTTACCTTTATATACAGTCTATGGTTCTTACTCAATATCAAGCCACGATTATTTTATTTATTTTAAATCGTATAATGTCTGGCTTTTTTTGCCGTCTGTGAGGAAAAGAAATGGAGCTCAGAGCCTCAGAATACTGAAATATGTATATTTTTTTCCTTCGAAATGTGTTATTATTTGTTACCCACTCTATCGAAATCAGTCAAAAGTCGCAACGGCTCATTTCACGGCTTGTGTAAAAAAAACTCATTTTTCAGGGTTCGGGTGTTTTGTTTAATTTTAAATAAACAAAGTCTTGGCTTTCAGAATATGAAACTGTTATTGCCAAAATCACGCGATAAATACAATTTGAAAGCTTGTAAAGGGAAGAAGAGGCACCTCTCAATTCGCACCCTGCTCTTCCTCAGCACCGCTCCCCCTCCCCCCGCTGAAATGATAAAGTAAAGGCGTGTAGTAATCATAGATAACACGACAGGGTCCGGGGCCGTTTGTTTTCATCTGTTTTCAAATAAACAAAGTCATTTAACATCACAGCAAGCATAAAAACAGCCGGTGTTTCTTGTGAGTGTTTCCCCGGTACACAAACGCAAAAATACACAAACACACTCGCGAGCTTCCCCCAGACCAGTAATGCAAACGAAAATGTGTCTTCGGGTCAATGTGACTGATTTCAATAGAGCAAGTCACATTTGGTTTAGGCACGAAACCTACTACCTAACGTTAGCTTAAACAAACGTAACATGCAACATTAGCCTAATCTAAAATACTCTACTANGTATTCAATGTTACAAAACAAAAATGACCATGTTCACATCTTAAAGTCATCCTGAGGCCTTAGTCTTGGTTTAAAATTACACAACATCATGTATGTGTTGCTAATTCTTTTGGGCTTGTTCTCATAGACCTGGTTGCTTACTTCTCTCAAATCTGGCAACAGAGTGGGCAGGGCGCAGTGTCTAATAGTAGCAGTAAGCTAACGAGAGGCTACGTTCAGCTGGTGAGTTTGGACAGAGAAAATGTCAGGAGTTTGGAAGTATTATAAAATTGAAAGCGAAGGCAGTGCAATGTTTGCAAGGCGGAGGTTCCGCGTAGTGGAAAGAACAGAGCTACGTTCAACACGACCAATCTAATACGCCACCTGAGAAACAAACACCAACAACAACAGGACGAGTACACAGCGGCCACTCAGGTAACAGCACTGAAACAACAAACACTTTCAGGAAAGAGAAACTGCCCCAGAACAGTGAAAAGGCCCAAAAAATAACAGCCAAGATAGCTGAATTCATCGCGTTGGATGACCAGCCGTTAGCTGTTACCTTTTTTTCTCTTAATGCATTGCATAAAGATCGGATCGGGAAAAATGATCGGGATCGGGAGCAAAGAAAGGTGATCGGGACATCCCTATGTATGACTGTTGGTTTTTCAACAGTTTTTGTGCAGTTTTTATTATTGAATTGTTTTGGTGTAATTGTGGCACCCACCGTTCTCTGGGAAAACATTTATTTCCTAACAGCAGCATTTGTGTAGTGTGTTGTGCGGGGATTCAAAATGATTCACATTTTATTGGATATCAATTGTGGCATTCACTCAAAAGCATTGTAAATTCTTCTTGTCTTATTATTTGACTACACTGATAACCGTTCGGCCCAGTTCCCTTTTTTATATATACACATTATATCCACACACGTCAATTTTGGTTGTTGGAGTATATTTGGCTGGAGGGGGAAATGTGTCACCTGTGCCTGCAGAGATTCAAAGTGGTGGTGATAAAATGTCCCCGACCGATGTGGGATTGTCAAATTGCAGCATCTGAAATGATTGACTGAAATTACCGTTGGCAAACTCCTTTTTTCTTATTTTCTACAGCATGTGGTATATCAAAATATAGAGGGAACTGTGACAAGGAGGTAGAAAAGAGAAAGGGATACCTGCACAGTTAAACCGAGGCTACAACTTATTACGCAGGTGTTCATGCTATTGTTTTCTCTCATAATATGAATTTAAGTTGTGGCAAAAACCAGCCAATCCATTCTCATGACTCACTGTCTCTATCGGGATATTAGCCTCAACAGCTGACATATTTGGTTTGTGTCTCAAAGTCTGCTTGGTGGTGTGTGATATAGAATACATTTAGTTGCATTATGTGTATTGTAGGGCTGCTCAATTAATCGTATTTTAATCGCTATTACGAATTTGGCTTGCAACGATTATGAAAAAACAACATAATCGAAATAAAACGATTGTTTTTTTTATTTTTTATTGGTTTTTCAGTTGAATTATACTTACAGTTGAGGGTAATCAACTGTTAAAAACATACTGTTCACATTAATTTTTTTCAATAAATGGATGTTTTCAAAGTAAATAATCGTTTTTAATAATCGTGATATCAATTATTGACCCAAATAATCGAGATTAGGATTTTTCCATAACCGAGCAGCCCTAGTGTGTTGTTTGAAATTAAAGATGTACAGTCAGATATTCATGAAACAGTCTTTTGTGATATTTAACAAAAAGTGTGTCCTTTAGCCAACTCTCTCTCTCTCGGAGAAGCTTCATGCAGGGTAAAATGGCAGAGGGACAGATTTTCCTCTTCAATAATAATAAATAATTAGAGTGACTTATTGAACATTAAAGCACAAAGTTGGGAAACATTGAATTGATCTGGAGGATGACAGGAAGTCTGAGTGCATCAGATGGGGATTGAAGACTCAGCTTGTAATGGATCAGCAATATGCTCACAAACAAAACGGGGACAAGTTCCAAAAATCGCAACAATAATCATCAATATCAAATCGCAGTTTGCTAACTTTGAGAGATTCCTGGCAGCACCAACAAAAGGAGGAAGCACATGAACAAGGGCTTGTAATCTTGGAGCCTTTTCAAAATGTGTCATTTACTTTGTTCATGTGAAACTTGAGGAAGGGGCAATGTGTGTTTAGTAGAAAAGTAAACCATGCAGGTTGTTACTGTTAATCGATGTAATATCAGTTTGACGGCCGTTGTTATGGAAACTGACCATGTTTAGCAGCCGAAACACTGTGTACTTTTGTGTTTAGTATTACACTAAAGGTAATTTGCAGTATCTCCACATATACGCGTGTACTCATGTTCCTGTTTGTATCTCTCTCTCCTCTTCAGGGCGTACTCCCTAGTTGACTCCAGCCAGGTGTCCACCTTCCTCATCTCCATCCTCCTCATCGTTTATGGCAGCTTCAGGTGAGTGTCTCTAAATACTGACTTACAGAAGACACCTTGTTTGCATTATTACACTTCTAACCTCCAGATGTTCATGATACGATTTAAAAAAATACGTTGTCAGATCAAGTCTGAATTTCTTCTCGCATCACTGCAGAATGGACACATATTTAACACAAGGGAAAACACATTTAATATAACATGACAATCACTGAAGACATCTTAGAATTGTTTATTGTGATTTCTAAAATAACAGTTGATGCTTTAAACTCAGTCACAGGCTTTTTGCTATGACTGCCACTCTCAACAAAAGGCCTTTTGTTTACAAAAGCTTTTGCTTCAAAGTGTCATGGTGTATTGTCTCATTTTGGAACATAAACCAGTTCCTGAGGGTTCAATCTAGTAAAAATGCACATTTTCTTGTTAATGTGAGTAAAAGACCAGTCGTTGCATCCATGTCTGACTCTTTCCCGGTCCGAGATACCCGGTGAACATTACACATAATGTGATTTTGGTGCATTTGCTGCATTGAAAGAACCAACACCTAATGGATTTTGGATTGCTTTAGTTGCATTTGGACAAAACACATTTTTTTAGATAAGTCTTATGATCAAGTAAATGGCTTGGCAGGCTTAAATCCTCAGGCTGAACCGATCCGATCAAGCTGAGCTCATTACAGTCTGCAGCTGCTGCTGTCAGGAGATGAAATCATATACAGTCATTTAGTATCCATCCATTTAAAAGCTAGATATTGAAAAAAGTTTGTATACACTTAGCTCGGGTTCCCTTGTAGATTTTCTGGAAATTCTGTGGTTTGCTACATAACGCAACAGGTTAAAGATTTATCGTGCAATGCGAGAGGTTTCTTTCATTTTCCTAACGTGACAAAGCAACTATGTTTGTTAAACTGTCTTGTGATGAAGGCCTTCATCTGTGGGGAGGAAAAACATGTCGCGATAAAGAGGAAATACACTTTTTCTCAGACTATTTCACGTTTGTCTGAGGTGAACCACAGCAAGGAAATGAAAATATTTTGTTGGTTGATGTGAGGAAGTTTTTTCAGGTTGAAGTGTCTGCAGGTCTGCCAAATGTAGTCATCATTTCAACCCTTTAACCACACGTAATTCTTTTGTAACTGATTGAAGTCAATTACAGTGAGAACGAATGTTTTCGACTACCTCTACTGTTATTCCCAACATAAAGGAAAGGCTGTTTTCCCCCCAAACTTATGAAAAGACCAACTGAGTCATCTTCCATTGACAGAGCTATTATCTGTCTATAAATAACAGCTAGTGCTTTGTTGGAGTGAACAGAAGTCTCCTACACAGCCTCATATCCACCGTTTGCTTCTGAGATTGTGATTACTGAGTGTAACACGTTCTCCTGCTCTTCCTCCCCTTCCCCTGCAGGTCATTAAACATGGATTGTGAAAACCAGGAGAAGGATAAAGATGGGAACCCCTTGCCAGGGTCTTTTAATAACAGCAACTCAAACAGTGAGTGTTACATACAAGGCAAGGACAAAAAAAAAAAAACGTCGTAAGATTTATTTGGAAATAAAAGTATAATCATTTGTTGCATCTTTAAGTTCTCCTCACTTCTTCGTGTGTATTGTTTTGCAGGTATTCAGACTATAGACTCCACACAGGCCCTGTTCCTGCCCATAGGAGCCTCAGTGTCTCTGCTAGTCATGTTCTTCTTCTTTGACTCAGTACAGGTGGTCTTTACCATCTGCACTGCAGGTGAGCGCTCCTCAACGTAACACAGAAACTCCACAGCGGTAGGATTACACGTTTCGGCTCAGTAATTACACACCGAGACAGGCCTCTTATCTGCGTTTATTGTTAAAACTGTAAACAACATTAACTGCCGCATTAAACTGACATAAAACGAGCAGTGTGGTTTTTTGTTGTTGTTCACCGCTGTGCTTTGTTCTCTTCCTCAGTTCTTGCAACAATTGCATTTGCATTCCTCTTGTTGCCAATGTGCCAGTATGTGACCAAACCATGCGCCCCAGTGAACAAGTAAGGAAATCACATGTGTATAGGTGCCTTTGGATCATGTATGTTGTCGCTTAGACTGCTCCATGCGGTTTTGTATGTCTTAAAACTATTTAAAAAGCTCATGTACTATATTCGCTTAGTACATAGTCTTATATGCCCTTTAACATGTATGTTATCTCCCTATGAACAAACTATTCAAAAGCTTTTAGGTTCAGGTGTCTGGACATCTTAAGCACAAGGAACCACCAACAATAAACACACCTATAGATAACCAATATAAACGCCTCCTCTAGTTACAGATTCACAGTCTCCTACCTCTATAGGCTATATATTGCACATGTATTCATCTCAGGCTTTTGAGATGAAATCCAGTTGAGGTGTAAGACGGATTAATTTAGACTTTTTCTCTAGCTACATGCAAATTTAAGGTCAGCAGCCCTCCAGTCCAGAAGGAGGTGGCAATGCACTTGAAGCTGTTGGGTAGACAATAAAAAACACTTTAGATGTTTCAACAATAACAGTGTAACCAGTTTTAGCCATCCAAAACTATCTATAAACTACTGGATGACTCGTTGTACCCTCTGCACTGGCTTTTAATCGCTCCACTCTCTCGTACCAGTCAATGCTCTCTCGTCCTACTTGTTCTTTGTCAAGTATTGAAATACCACTCAAATGTATTAGCCTGTTTAGCCAGCATGTTTCACATTTTCTGATGCTGAGAAATCCCACGGATGTTCTGTCCCTCCCTACATCTCTTATGTTTACTAAGCTTAGTTCTGTGCGATCTAGATAAGAGTGTCAATTATTTTTCTTATTGCAGGATTTCCTTTGGCTGCTGTGGGCGTTTCACCCTGGCTGAGCTCCTGTCCTTCTCCCTCTCCGTTCTGCTGGTGCTCATCTGGGTACTGACTGGACACTGGCTCCTCATGGACGGTGCGTCTCTCACTCTCAGGACTGTCGTCTCAGTGTTTCCATTCACATTAATTCAGTTTCTTTTCCGTATTTCCAGAGAATAGCTCTGCAGCAGGTTGTATTCTGTGAAACATTGCCCATTAGAAGATGTATTTAACTGTGTGGGGAGTTTTCTTAGCATAGCTGCTAACTGTGATTCTGGGAATAAAAAATATCTACTCAGCCTTTTTAATCTTCTAGACAAAAGAGCAATTTCCATCATCTCTTTAGGTAGAAGGAGCTTGATATTGTGACTCATGCGATATGCAGATCTTAGAAACACTATTTTCAGGCTCTTCAGAGTGATGCATGCCAATACAGCAAGAACACACTAAAGTTAGTCAGCTGCTATATAACAGGCATTTAACTGGTCTTGATCAAAGTTGTAACCTTAGTGCTGGGCAGAGGAAAGCACGTGGGTGTGTGCACTTGTATTATTTGACCGTGTTGACGTCATTTCAGAAATGTGAACAATGCGGCCCTCATAAAAAGCTGCATAATCAAAAGAAAAGTACACAATATGAAACATTTGAATTGGAAATGACTCGTAAAATACGCATAATCTCAAGAGGACCTCGACACAAGCTGGACATACTGTGTATCTCCCTTTCATGAGAACAAGTTAAATAATGTTGACCCCCTCTGGCATTTATTCTGAGCTGGTCTAATGAAGTCTAATTTCCTTTTTGTTTTTCACAATCCACTTAACGGCATACTTAATGATATTTTAAAAGGAAATCTCTAAAAAATGAAATACCATACATGAGTTTAACATTGACAAGTATTGCATTAGCAGCAGTTAGGTATTGTGCTTAGCGCCTAAGTGCTGGTTGTTTTAGAGATAATGGCGAGTATACACACAAGCACTTATTATGTAAAATTCAGTCATTATATTAAATCTGTGCTTTTATTGACTCAAACCATCTGTGCATTAAAAGCCTATAATGCTCATGTTCAGTCCCAACACTCTTGTTTCTTATCAGGTCTTGCCTCGTGCACCCAAAAGTGAATTAGCACAACATTTCATCAGAATAGTCTGACTAATTAATTAGGCTGTGTGCTCAGTGATTAATGTTTCTTAAATAAATGTGCTTGAATTAGTTCTCATGTTTAATTTCAGCGTATTTCTGCTGAAACGCAGAACTGTGTTTTTAATATCTTGTGTTTTCCCTCCCCTCAGCTCTAGCGATGGGCTTGTGTGTCGCCATGATAGCCTTCGTGCGGCTCCCCAGTCTGAAGGTTTCCTGCCTGCTGCTGTCAGGACTGCTCATTTATGATGTGTTCTGGGTAAGACATGCTCCCATCCATAACTGCCCCCCGTCACAGCTGACGTACGAGACCCTGCTGCGAGATACAGCAGCTAGACCGTGTTTACAAGGACAAACTCATTAAACAAAACGTCCACATAGATTATCTCTTTATCCCACATCTAACAACAAAGTAATGATACAGCTTAAGGACGCCCTTACATTCGAAACATACACAAGCAAATACCACCTTGCCAGCCAGATGATGTGTTGCTTAGGAAGTGATGCATTTTCTATTTTCCAGTAGCAGTGTGTTCTGGAGGAACTGGGTACAGGGTTCGTACGGGTGCTTGAAATCCTTGAAAATGCTTGAAATTTGACGTGGTGTTCTCAAGGTTGGGAAAGTGCTTGAATTTTGGGAATGGTGCTTGAAATTGAGATAAAGAGCTTGAAAATGTAAATGCTTTACTTTTACAATAAATTTCTGTCTGACTGAATAGTTCGCTTTTTAGATTAAAAGAAAATAATTGCTTCGCTTTTACATAAAACAGCTCCGCTCAGGCCTTCCCGCGCTATGCGCGGGACCTACAAGTGTTTGTGTTACGTGTGACCTGGGCATTCTGATGAGAGTGATAGATGCCAGGAGGTTGCAGTTTCAACGAGCAGAAGACAAATACAAGCCATGGCTAAGACGAGGGTCAAGCCCATGCGTAGCCTCCTGCAAAGTTTGCAACAAATAACGATGCGAGAGTCTGCGCTGACGAGCCACATGAAAGGTACGCCGTAGTAGAGCATTTTAGATTAGGCTAACGTTGCAATTTACGTTTATTTAAGCTAACGTTAGCGAGCTGAATAGCGAACTCGATTGAGGGATAATAATAATTGCAGGGGACAATCATTTCAGCGTACTTATGTTAATATGTGCCTTACAGTCGCCATCGTGTGGCGTCACGAAATATAATCTATTGATTCGACACAGAGCGATTTTGAAAGCAATGTATTTCTACTGGTAGTATGTTTCGTGCCTAAACCAAATGTGACTTGCTCTATCGAAATCAGTCACATTGACCCGAAGACACATTTTCGTTTGCATTACTGGTCTGGGGGAAGCTCGCGAGTGTGTTTGTGTATTTTTGCGTTTGTGTACCGGGGAAACACTCACAAGAAACACCGGCTGTTGTTATGCTTGCTGTGATGTTACATTAGTCCGTTCTCTGCTTGTAATTATGCCGTTACCATCTTCAAAGTTGTATTTATCATCTGAATTTGCCGAAACAAGTTTAATATTCTGAAAGCCAATACTNCTAGAGATGTCCCGATCCGATCACGTGATTTTCAAAAAATCGGAATTGGGAGAATTTTTTTTTTTTATTATATAAAATATGTTTTTATTATTATTTAATCATTAAATAATAATAAAAACATATTTTATATAATAAAAAAAAAAAATTCTCCCAATTCCGATTTTTTGAAAATCACGTGATCGGATCGGGACATCTCTAGTCATACAGTTAGAGAAGGGGTTTATTCTCACGGTACTTACTATTAATTAGGCCTTTTCACAGTTATAACTAACTGCAGCAAGCTGAACTGCAGCAAGCTGAAATGCACCAACCAATACTGTTGATACCAAAAAAAAGATCACACTGTTCATGCAAGACATTCCTTCTAGAAGATTTGCAATCATCTAAACTATAGAACAGAAAACAAAATACAGCATACCAGTTTAGGGCTGGGCAATTGATCAAAAACTATTTTTAGTTAAAACTCTGGCTTTGGCTTGAGATGCATTCTGCTTCACAATTATACTATACTTTTGTCTTTTGTTCCCTTTCTTTTACAATCGGATCTAGTACAGCTTGGTAAAGCCCGGGGTGAGGCTGGTCCACACCCAAACATCATCACTTCCTGGTTGTTGCTGCACCCCTCTCTAATTTCTATGGATTAAAGAACACAAAGTTCTCCGTAGATCTAGCCTCTTAATTTTGATATCAAAGATCTTTGCCACAGTCAAACAGCCCTAGTCTGGGTTTATTTTATCTGCAGACATTCATTAATTGACTCAAGTAACACAGTCATTACATGTTACTTGTTGTTACAGTCAAAATTAAATTCTGCAAACATCTTGAATCCTCTTGCAATCTGTACATGTTATTGTGTTTTGTGAGACTGACTTGAAATACTGAAGAGGAGCTCACATAAGCATATGCTCAGCTAGGCTTATGTTAAAAAGAGTATTAATACACTTTAGATTGAAGATTAGGCATCTTAGTTTGGGTTTGTCAAGACATGTATGATCAGGCTTCTAGTTTGCAGACTGGTGTTGTGTCAACGCAGCAAATTGTTCCCATATAAATGATCTGGGGGCTTGACGTAGCGTAGACATTCAACCTTATAATGCAGGCCTTTTTCTGCGGCAAAGACAAGGCTGCCATTGTGAATGCTGCCTGCAGTTTGGAGGTGCAGGTTTGACCCCGACCATGACCTATCTGTCTCCGTCTCTGGGTGAGGTATGCATGTTGAAGTTAAAAAACACAATAAGACTAGTGAGCCCCAATAAAATCATCATCATCTCAGTCTGCACTAATGCATCATACACAGGAATCGATAAGCCATCAGCTGATCCATTTGTCTGACTTATCAACTCTATTCAACCCAGTGAGGAGGCTGATATCGTTTCAAATTGGTATGAACACTATCATGGGCTGTGTTGGAAACTTTCCAAATCTAGCTACTTCATGCACTATATTTCACACTGTGCCATTTTATTTGAGTTTCTGAATTCAATATAATGCACTAAGAAATGTCCCTAAATGAAAATAAAAACCCTACTGTGCATTTCAATACCCATGCTACCATACTATTTAGTATGCAAGACAAATATTGTTGAAATACATAGAATTACACGTGCAGTATGCCAAACATACCAAGATGTCCTACTGCATTAAGGTGCAATTTGTAGTATGAGCACCAGCATCATTTTCTGGCTATTCTGAACCACAATCCATAGCAAGGCGGATATACAAGTGAGAGGGTCAAAGTTTGAGGCTCAATGTTATGAAGAAATATCCCAATTGTATGCATACTAAGTGCAACAGTATATTCTTTGTAAGTGCAGCTGCAGTACTTAAAGGAAAGAGAAAGTATACAACTGGGTACGCAGACATAGGGTCTAAGGTCTGTACAATATGTTTGCTTACAATCCCATAATGCAATCTGTCACATTTTAGTTACACAAAACTGCACTTGTCTTGCATATATGTAGGACATTTTACTGCAGTACATTAATGCCAAAGATATGTTTGAGGTAGTTAATACAAAAGTCCCACGATCACATAGTTTGTCCTCCACAGTTTATTATTCAAGTGTATATGTCACACTAAAGGGTAAGGTATACTTAGCAGATATTTTTAACTCTTTTAACCGTAATGGCCTCAAAAAGTCAGCATTGTGTTGGCTATATTAACCACTTTCATTATTCTCAAATGATTGAGAGTAATAAATGAGACAACTCTCAAGAGTGTGCAAAGTGGACAGAAAGCCTTACAAGTCATGATGACAGATGCTCCATACAGGAAAACCACATTAGCAAAAAGGAAGAAATAAGTTGACCCCCGGCAACACTGTCATAACGACAAATAACAGGACCTTTGTTTCACTACAAGTTACTGTTCTTCAAAAATAACCATAGAGGAGAACCAGCATCTGTAACGGTTTCTTTTATTTTTCCAACTACTACACTCTCCTTTGTATCAGAGTTTGATTTAGTGAGCTCAGCCTCTGGGTCATCTTTTTTTTTTTTAAAGCAAATATTTCGCCCAGTCTAAAATTATAGCAAGCACCTTAATCCTTACTTGGTGAAACAACAAACTGTGAATATAAACGGTATACCTCTGCAACATTCAAATAGCAGACCCTAGCTATGAAACTTTAACATAGAGGATAAACAATTCAATACTCTAAAATGTAGCTCATGAGTTAGCGGTTTGCTCAGAAAAGGTTATTCCATTTTTGATAATATTGGCTAGCAATATACTAAAAAAGGCACTATTGTGATTCTAATAAGTATACGTACTAGGGCCTGCAACTAAACGGAGCCCTTTCCTGCTGCTGGCATGGATTGAAAACCATTTCAGTTTTTTGAGTATCGCCGGGCTGCATTACTAGCTTTCTTCCAAGAGACAAAAGCCCTTGTATAAAAAAATTCTGTGCTGCAAATCATTTCTCATTCTGGTGGCATGTGACGCAGGAATTCACTGTTTCTTTGTGATGCTGATGGGAGGCAATAAGGCACAATCTCCTGTCTTTTTCATTCATTGAGTAGAACAGAAATAACGACAGGGTTTCTAAAGTGGGAGGAGGGGACTTGTAGTTTACTGTGGAAACAGAACACTGGGGCAATACTGCATCATGTAGCTTTGTCAAGACTTCTACTTCATGACTCAAAAACACACTTGGGCATCTTTACAGATTTGTCCAAATACAAATAGGCCAATATACTTGGCCCCGAATGTAGGTCACAACAAATGTGACACAAAATGACAATGTTTCTATTTTTGGCTTTTAAACCAAACAGGTTAAATGTCTTGCCAACAGTTTGGGCTCAAGCATTAAGAAAGTGATTAAGAAACTGACCGTGTTCTTCTACACGCAAACACAAATGATGTCACTGCCTCACTGTCAACACAGCGGGGAGATAGAAAGCTAGTTTAATCAACCACGGCCCTAATTCATATTCTAGTACCGAACTGGTTCGTCTGAAATCTGCGCACAGAAGCCTGTAGAACATGGGTGAGATAGATGAATGGAACATTTAAAAAAAAAATACAATCCCGGACTGTTGAGGGCTGGATGGCCGCCCAAAGTGCCATAAGACGTCCTTGTTCACTGACAGACTAGGTTTTCAATAACACAATTCCAATACGGTCCTCCATCAAGCCCAGTTGCATGCATGACTTGACCACTAAGGCCCAGGTCACCAGACCACAATGAAGACTTTTACAGATGCTACCATGTGAGGTCTCAATATCTAAAATAATATCTAACTCAGGTCTCACCAGATTATACACATGGAGATAAATTACACAAACTGAAAAGATTGGGAGCCCCTGACATTAACACTACATTAACTTTACACTCAATATCATTCACTTCAGCTTGCATTAGCCACTGGCTGGGTTTGCCGCTGGACCTTGAATTGGGAATTAACATTTATCTGCCTCCACTTTCTCATTCAATTATGGATGTAGTGGGAACAACAATTGTATCTGTGATCTGTACCTCTTTGCCTCCAAGAAAATAAGTACACCTCTCCTGCGTAGCTTCTGTGTGTGTTTAAGGCACTTCCCTGGTTTTATTTCCCTGTTTGAAA